CTGTGAGGGTGGTGGAGCACTGGAACAGGTTGCCCAGGGAGGTGGTTGAGGCCCCTTCCCTGGAGATATTCAAGGAGAGGCTTGACGAGGCCCTGGGCAACCTGGTCTAGTTGGGGGTGTCCCTGCTGACTGCGGGGGGGTGGGACTAGATGGCCTTTGGAGGTCCCTTCCAGCCTGGACAACTCTATGATTCTATGATTCTATTTCTGGCTCCTCACTGACTCATGAAGTCACCTTGGGCGAGCCATTTCCCTTTTCTTTTATTATTTCAACCACCTGCGATGGGGGAAACGCTTGGAAGAACTCCTGGATGGACCTGGGGGGGGGCACAAACGAGTCATTAGGGGGGAATTCCGAACTGGAGGATCCCTCCCCAGGGGTGGAAGGATGCAGCCAGGGCTGGGAAGAGGGATGCAGCTCCCATCTAGGTCGGTGGGGATGTGATGGGCTGGAGCATCCATCTGGGACCAGCTCTTGTCTAAGCTGAGGGAAAGGCATCGAGTTTGTTACGACGCTGCCTCTTGGGTGTTAAAAACAAGGGTTTTGGTCACCTTTCCTAAGAAAAAGTCTCACCTGAGGAGAGGGGGGGATGGTGGCCAAGGAGCAAAATCAAGGATTTCTGGGACCAGCTCTTGTCTAAGCTGAGGGAAAGGCATCGAGTTTGTTACGACGCTGCCTCTTGGGTGTTAAAAACAAGGGTTTTGGTCACCTTTCCTAAGAAAAAGTCTCACCTGAGGAGAGGGGGGGATGGTGGCCAAGGAGCAAAATCAAGGATTCCCAAGGAAGAAGAGGGTAGGAACGGGGAGCCCCACAAACAGCACCCTGATGTTCCCCACTCCCATCTCCCCGTCCTCCCAGCACGTCATAGAACGATGGACTCACGGTTGGAAGAGACCTTGAAGATCATCAAGTCCAACCATCAAACCCAAACCAACCCATATCCCTTTGCCTTTTAAATCCCTCCAGGGATGGCAACTCCGCCCCGTCCCTGGGCAACCTGTTCCTACCTTGGACAATCCTGTTCCCCACTCCCATCTCCCCGTCCTCCCAGCACGTCATAGAACGATGGACTCACGGTTGGAAGAGACCTTGAAGATCATCAAGTCCAACCATCAAACCCAAACCAACCCATATCCCTTTGCCTTTTAAATCCCTCCAGGGATGGCAACTCCACCCCGTCCCTGGGCAACCTGTTCCTACCTTGGACAATCCTTTTTTTTGGCGAAGAAATTTTTCCTCCTCTCCATCCTAAACCTCCCCTGGCGCCAAGGAACAAAACAGAGGATGCCCAAGGAAGAAGAGGGTAGGAACGGGGAGCCCCACAAACAGCACCCTGATGTTCCCCACTCCCATCTCCCCGTCTCCCCAGCACATCACAGAACGATGGACTCACGGTTGGGAGAGACCTTGAAGATTATCGAGTCCAACCATCAAACCCAAACCAATCTATGTCCCAAGGATGGCGACTCCACCCCATCCCTGGGCAACCTGTTCCCACCTTGGACAACCCTTTTTTTGGCGAAGAAATTTTTCCTCCTCTCCATCCTAAACCTCCCCTGGTGCAACTTGAGGCCGTTTCCTCTGGTCCCATCACCTGTTCCTCAGGAGAAGAGACATCTCTCCACCCCTCCCCGTGGTGAGGAACCTGATGAGCCCAGGCAGGAGCCAGCTGGCAATGGGGGAGCCATCACGAGCCGAGCCTGGGGACACGGTGGCCAAGGACAGAGGGACAACGACGCTCCCTCCGAGGAGCCAGCAGGGTTTCGAGATCCCAGATGAGGTTTCAAGATCTCAGCCCAAACGACTCAGGGCTGGAGAAGGGGAAAAAAGCCAGGGATGGGGGGTGTGGAGATTTTTTTTTGGTGGTTCTGGGGAGTCTTTTTGGTGGTTGGGGAGGGGGGTGGCTGGAAGAGGGAGCCCCCCGTGCACCTGATTGTGAAGGGAACAGCCAGAACAGCATCCCCAGCACCCACCCGATGTGCATGGGCACCATCTGGTAGGTGAATCAGCCTGCAGACAACTCGCTGGCAGCTCCTCTGAGAGCCTTTTTCCAACCCCCCCACAACCCTCCCCTTGCCATCCTCCACCTCCCCACCCCAAATCGGAGGTGAGATGAAAACCCCCGCTCTCTGCACCCCCTTCCAGCACCTGGGTCACCCCCAGGAAGCTTCCCTTCCCCCCCCAAAAAAAACCCAAACCACTGTAGGATAAAAAAACCCACCATAACATGAGGTTTTGCCCACCTCCCTGCCCCGGACCACCCCCTGATCCGAGGCACGATGATGCCAAAAGTTCAAAACCGGATTAAAATCCCCCATAATTTGCTTTTCCAGCCCAAAGGGAAGGGCGAGAGGAGAAGGAAGGCGGGAGGAGGAGCAGCAGCTCGGCACAGAGGGAAGGTGGAGGATGGAAATTCAAGCAGGCTGTGGTTTATTTAGGCCACCCCCCTTCTCCTGCAAATCCTCGGGGTGGAGATCCTCCTCCTCCTCCTCCATCGCTGCCGACTCCGGGTACCCAGAGCCAGAACCGAGCCTTAAGGAGAGCCCTGAGCATCTCATCATCTCCAACAAGGTCCAACCCTCAGCTCCAGGAGGACAAATGCCACGAAACAACATACCCAGGTGAATAAAGCCACCAAATGCCAGAGGTAAATGTCCACTCAAGGCTCCAGCAGGGATCTCGTGGGACAGGACATGATGTGGACCCACCAGGAGCGGCCCCGATACGAGGAAAATCCATAAAAACCAGGGAAAACTCCTTTCTACCCATCATCACCGCAAGAACCTGGCTCTTCTGCCAGGACAAGGTCCAACCCCGTGTCCCATCACCACCTCCTGTGCCCTCTCACCACTCGGAGGTAACGACATTTGGGCAGAGATTGAGTGTTTGGGCAGAGCGTTGAGCTCCAGGAGGTACCTTGTGCTAAGAGGAACTCACCCTGCAAGGTGGGACCTCAGATGAGGATGCCACCCAAAAAGGCCACCTGGATGACAGGGAACAGCATCTCACCTGCGCCCGGACCAGCGACTCGAAGCTGGGTTTGAAGTAGTCGATGCGGCTGCTGTAAAACTTGGGCATTTCCTCCAGGAGCTGCTTGTTTTTGGCTTCAAAGTCCTCCTTCACCGGCCTCAGCTCTTCACGGGCCTGGGAGAGGAGAGAGGATGAGGAGTCAGACACCTGGGAAAACATCTGTCCCTTGGGCACATCTGCACAGAGGTCACCCCAGGCCAGCAGAGTGCTCTGCTTTGACCCGAGGACAACCAGTGACCAGCTAATGGAGCCTGGTGGGACCTAATGACCTGCTAACAGAGCTTGGTGGGACCCATGCAATCATCCAATGCGGCCTGGTGGGACCCAAGTGACCAGCTAATGGAGCCTGGTGGGACTTGTCGGACCATCCAGTGGAGCCTGGTGGGACCCAAGTGACCAGCTAATGGAGTCTGGTGGGATCCATGCAACCATCCAACCTCTGACCTGCACAAAGGCCACCCCAGGCCAGCAGAGTGCTCTGCTTTGACCCGAGGACAACCTGTGACCGGCTAATGGAGCCCGGTAGGACCAAATGACCAGCTAGTGGAGCCTGGTGGGACCCAAGTGACCAACTAAGAAGCCTGGTGGGACCAAATGACCAGCTATTGGTGCCTGGTGGGACCTATAAGACCATCCTGTGGAGCTTAGTAGGACCCAAGTGACCACCTAATAGCCTGGTGGGTCCCACGTGACCAACTAAGAAGCCTGGTTGGGACCAAATGACCAGCTAATGGTGCCTGGTGGGACCTATAAGACCATCCTATGGAGCTTGGTAGGACCCAAGTGATCACCTAACAGAGCCTGGTGGGTCCCAAGTGACCAGCTAATGGTGCCTGGTGGGACGTGTAAGACCATCCTACGGAGCCTGGTAGGCCTGGTAGGACCCAAGTGATCACCTAACAGAGCCTGGTGGGTCCCAAGTGACCAACTAAAAAGCCTGGTGGGGCCAAATGACCAGTTAATGGTGCCTGGTGGGACCTGTAAGACCATCCTACGGAGCCTGGTAGGCCTGGTAGGACCCAAGTGACCACCTAACAGAGCCTGGTGGGTCCCAAGTGACCAGCTAATGGAGCCTGTTGGAACCAAATGACCACCCAATGGAGCCTGGTGGGACCCAAGCTCTGACCCTGGACCACGGGCAAAGCCATGGGACACCTAGAGAAGCTCCTGCAGAGATCACGAGCCAGCAGGTCTTCTCTCCTTAGAAGAACAGGGTCAAAAACCAGCCCCAAAGCTCAGCCAGGCTGGAGAACATCCCCATCCACGTCCATTCCCAAGAGCATGGCCAGAAGATCCTGCCCCCCACCTTCATTTTTTGCCCATGACCTTCAGCTCAGCGCGTCCAACTGGCTTCTTTAAACAGAAGCGTGGGGAGAAAGGGAAATGTCTCTGAGCTGGTGTGGAAAAGGGCAGGAGGGGGTGGGCTGTGAAATATTAGACTGGTTCCAGTCTGCTGCTTAATCCTGGTGCCATTCCGACGGGAGGGGAGGGGGGACAGGGGGAAAAAACCACCCAGCCCAGCCCAGCTCCCCGGGACAACGCGCCGGAGGGATGGGATGGGATGGACAAAGCCTCACATCACACCAGGTTTAAGTAGATTTGAGGGGAAAGCCAGCAAATTCATCGTTTGCCATGAAAAGAGGAGCTTGGGGAGTCCCTGGGGTGGAGTTCAGGTGGGGCATCCAACAGGAGAAGACCTTGGGCACCACCAGCTCTGGTGGAAAGACCCAATAAAAGTCTGGTGGAAAGGCTCAATAAAAAAATATCTGGATGAGATTAGGCCATTTCCCAACAAATCTGAGCATCTCTCCCAAGGTTTGGGATCAATTAAGGTGTTTAAGCTCAGGCAGTGGTTAGTTGAGATCTATTTTTTGGGGTTTTTTTTTTTTTTGGGAGGGGAGCGGAATTAAATCTCACCCAAGTTCATTACGAGGGAAATACAAAAAAAAAAATATGAAATAACTAAAACCTGCTTAATCACCAGGACAAAAGCAATTCACATTTTTCCAGGCACCCAGGCTAAGAGAAATAAGCTGCTTTACTCTTAAATCGGAGGTCCCTTTTGTGAAGGCTGATCGGGTTATTCTTTAACACAAAACTTCATTTTTTTGCGAGGAAAACCAGCCGAAAATCCACCTTTTTTTGACGCTGAGAAAGTCAACTGCTCCTTCGAGGCTCCTCGGGAGGAGGAGAAAGGCTGCCATAGATTTAATTGTAAAAAATAAATCAGGATTTTCGCTCAAATTCGGGAGGGAGAAAAAAGAATCTGGCGAGGCTTCCCGTTAACCAATTTCTGCGATTTTTTCCACGACGAATTTCGCTAACAGGTGGCAAACATCAATCCCTCTCATCTTTCCCCCTTTTTCCCACCCAGCTGTGGAGATCGGGGTGTGGGGGGAGGAAAACCCACCCCTTGAGCATCCACTTGGGCACCGGCTGCTCCTCCGAGCATCCCCGACTCCTGGTTTTATTCCATTTTATGGAAAACCACCATTTTTTCCCCTTTCGCTGCAACTCAAAATTCACATTTTTGTTCCCAAGAGGCCTGCGTGGTGGTTTTACACCGAGAAAACATCCCTTCAGTGATGTTTTATTTCGGGGGGGGTACGGCGCGGGGGTGAAATCTCAAGGGAAAAAGGTTTTTCCTGCTTTTTTCCTGATTTTTGGGGTGGGTACCTGGTGCAGCTTGGCCAGGACGGGGCCCGTCCTCTCCTTCTCCTCATATTTCTCCACCTTGGACTGCAGGCGTTTGTAATCCTGCAGCGTTTGCTCCCTCCTCTTCACTGCCATGTTCAGGCTGGGGAAAACGCTGCTGAACCTGCCCCAAAAAAGAAAAAAAAAAATGGGAAAAAATTGTGGTTTTTTTGGGGGGTTGGGATGCAGCATCCAAGGTAAGCTCCCAGCTACAAGTTCCCAAATAACTCAAAATTCGGACCAAAAAACACCCAGGGGTTTCAACCGAGCTCGTTCCAGACATAAAAGCTTTTATTGCCATTTTCCAGGAGATTGGAAAAAAACCAGGTTGAAGGGATATATTGAGATTTTCAAAGCCTTGCCAGGGTGTTTTGAGAGAACTTGAAGCTTGGAGTTGTGTGGGGTTTGGTTGTTTTTTTTTTTAAGGTCAATTTTTTAAGGTCAATTCGTGTGTCTAAGGGCGTGTTTCAAAATAATTATAATAATAATAATAATAATAATAATAAAAACCCAGCCAATAATGCAAAGCCTGGTCAAAGTTACTTTGCAGGTCCCAACCTGCTTTGGAGTTCTCCTGCCAGCCCTTATGTTTTTATCATTAGTTCTTTATTTTTAACAGTTTCCCCCCCCCCTTCCCCCTTCTCTTCCAGCTGCTGTAGTCGGGAACACGGAGAGCACTTTATCTGGGATGGGGGGGGGGGACAGAAGCTGCCGCTGAAAACAAAGTTGTTTTCTCCACCAAGCGATAAAAAAAAGGAAAAATAAACAACTTTTTCCCTCCTCCCCCCTCCCCATCCCGATATAAAATTAGATAATGTGAAATTTCCCCAAGAGCGTGTTTGGAAAAGGAATGAGAGGGCGAGGAGTTGAATCGAAAATCCTGGAAAAAAATAAATACAGGGTAAAAAATAGATATAAACTGCAGCAATCTGGGCTTTTTTGGGGCAATTTTGGGGCTTGTTGCATACAGCTCAGCTCTGTAACCCCCCCGCCCCTCCCCAGAAGGATTAACAGCAGCCAACAATTAGCCAGGCTACGGGAAGGTTCATGTTATTAAAATGTGTTACAAATTGAGGAAACATGAACATCTGAGGGTGAGGGCAAAGAGAGAGAATTATTTTTGAAGGCGACAGAAGAAGGGAAAGCCAGAAACTGGCGCGTCCCTCTCCTCTCCCAAATCTCAGTAAATCAAATTATACCAGTGGGGACCGAGCTACGGGTTCGTATAAAATGGGTCACAGTATATATTAATTAATCTCCACAAATTATAGGGTCATTTTGAGGGGGGGAAGGCAGGAAAAAAAGTAATGAAAAATGGGCCTAAACAGCCTGGTGAGGGTTTTTGCTTCGGAGAGGGAAGAGCTCTCTTTAAATTAAAGAAAAATAAAACTAAAAAAAAACCAAACCTGTGCTGGGGGGAGCACGTTAGTAAAAAGAAAAGCACAAATCCCACTTTATGACTAATTTTCTTTAGGTGTAATCAGAACTGGGGTATTTTGAGGGGGGGAAGCCTGGAAAAAAAGTAATGAAAAATGTGCCTAAACAGCCTGGTGAGGGTTTTTGCTTCGGAGAGGGAAGTACTGTCTTTAAATGAAAGAGAAAAAAAACTAAAAAAAACCTAACCTGTGCTGGGGGAGCACATTAGTAAAAAGAAAGCCCAAATCACACTTTATGACTAATTTTCTTTAGGTGTAATCAGAACTGGGGTTAATACGGAGGCACCCGGGTTCAAACAAACCCATTCCCGGCACAGCCAGGGCTTATAAATAAAAATAAAATGATAGTATGGATTTTTATAATTAAAAATATTATTTTTTTTAAATGAAAAATTAATAATAATCTCATTTTCTGACGTGCCAGAGGGTGTTAATGTGCTGGACCGGGGGGTTGCGGAGGCAAAGCTTTCCCAGTTTGCAAAGGGGAAACACCGAATTTCATAGAATCATAGAATTTTAAGCATTTCTATCCGAATTATTTGTTTTTAAGCACCCCCCAGGAGACGACGAACTGGGGACACGTTCTCTGCTGCCTGGGGACAACCAGGGCTGGTCCCTGCCTGGTTCCTCCCGTGATATTTTCCTTCCAACCATGACTATTGCGAGAGGTGGCATCGGGAGCAACCTGTAAAAGCCATCAGTGTCACCCTTGGTGCCCGGTGTCACCCTGCCACCCGCTGTCACCCTGCCACCCGGTGTCACCCTGCCACCCGGCGTCACCCGGCCGCCCAGCTGCCCTCACATGGCTTTTTTTGGCATCCTCCCCACACCCCTCCCTATTATATTGAAATACCGCGGTGGCACCCAGCTCCCTGCAGGGACTCACCATCTCCTGGGCTGCTCAAATCATAGAATCATAGAGTTGTCCAGGCTGGAAGGGACCTCCAAAGGCCATCTAGTCCCACCCCCCCGCAGTCAGCGTCCTCCTTATATTGAGGGCTCCACACCTGCACACAATACTCCAGGTGAGGTCTCCCCAGAGCAAAGTGGCAGAATCCCCTCTCTGGACCTGCTGGCAACGCAGCTTTTGATGCAGCCCAGGATGGGATTGGCCTTCCCACTGCCTGCTCATCCCTCCCTCCCTCTCCAAAAATCCACCCCGAGAGGGGGCGGGGGAATAGGGATGGGTGGTACAGAAAAGGGGGTACCCAAATCCAGGGTTGGGGGGTGGTCTCCTCGGTATAAAAGCACAGCCTGCCCTTGGAAGGATCCCATCAGGGTGACATCCCCTGATGGGGAGGGTTTGGTACCAGCACACGGTCCCGGTTGGAGAGACACGGGATTAATTCCTCTTCTAAGGGTTGGGAAAACAGACCCTGGTGTCTCAACTGGGGAAAATTATTCACTTTACAGCCAGATCTGGGGGGTGGGATTCAAAATCTCAGTGTTTTCAGGTGTGGGGATGAGGAGGAACGAGACCAGGACGCTCGCCCTAAGGTGCCACCAGGATTATTTCACACCATGAAGGTCACATTTATAGAATCAAAGAATCATTGCCCACTGCCTGCTCATCCCTCCCTCCCTCTCCAAAAATCCACCCCGAGAGGGGTCGGGGGAATAGGGATGGGTGGTACAGAAAAGGGGGTACCCAAATCCAGGGTCGGGGGGTGGTCTCCTCGGTATAAAATCACAGACTGCCCTTGGAAGGATCCCATTGGGGTGACATCCCCTGATGGGGAGGGTTTGGTACCGGCACACGGTCCCGGTTGGAAACAGACCCTGGTGTCTCAACTGGGGAAAATTATTCACTTTACAGCCAGATCTGGGGGGTGGGATTCAAAATCTCAGTGTTTTCAGGTACGGGGATGAGGAGGAACGAGACCAGGACGCTCGCCCTAAGGTGCCACCGGGATTATTTCACACCATGAAGGTCACATCTATAGAATCAAAGAATCATAGAAGGACAAGGGGGAACGGTTTTAAATTGGAAGAGGGAAGATTTGGAGTAGATAACAGAAAGAAATTCTTTGGTGGGAGGGTGGTGAGAGCCTGGAACAGGTTGGCCAGAGAAGCTGTGGCTGCCCCATCCCTGGAGGGGTTCAAGGGCAGGTTGGAGGGGGCTTGGAGCAACCTGGTCTGGTGGGAGGTGTCCCTGCCCAGGGCAGGGGGCTTGGAATGGGATCATAGAACGGTTCAGGTTGGAAGGGACCATAAAGGTCTTCGAGTTCCAGCCCCCCAGTGGTCTTTAAGGTCCCTTCCAACCCAAACTATTCTATGATCATGCAGTGGCCCAGGTTGCCCCGAGAAGCTGTGGCTGCCCCATCCCTGGAGGGGTTCAAGGGCAGGTTGGAGGGGGCTTGGAGCAACCTGGTCTGGTGGGAGGTGTCCCTGCCCAGGGCAGGGGGCTTGGAATGGGATCATAGAACGGTTCAGGTTGGAAGGGACCATAAAGGTCTTCGAGTTCCAGGCCCCCAGTGGTCTTTAAGGTCCCTTCCAACCCAAACTATTCTATGATCATGCAGTGGCCCAGGTTGCCCCGAGAAGCTGTGGCTGCCCCATCCCTGGAGGGGTTCAAGGGCAGGTTGGAGGGGGCTTGGAGCAACCTGGGCTGGTGGGAGGTGTCCCTGCCCATGGAAAGGGTTTGGAATTAGATGATCTTTAAGGTCCCTTCCAACTCTGACCACTCTATGCTTCTATGAAACACCAAGCCAGTACCCAACGGTAGCTTTGAAACGGTGTTTTTTCCCGTTTCCAGCCCGTTTTCTCCACTCTCTCTCCCCGTGCCCGGCCCTTCCACGGCGCTCGGGCGTTAAAAAGAGGCAGGAGACACCAGAGAATTAACGCCGCAGCCATTTACATCCTACAAACTCCCCACCACGGGGGGAAGAGCCAACCCTTTAGCTCAGAAAGGCGGCAGAAGCCGATCAGCGACACACTTTCCATTCACTTTGAAGTTAAATCTGGTTTGAAAAAAAAAAAACAAAAAGGAAAAGGCAGCCCGTAATGGAAGGACATTGTACTTTTAAAACAAAATAGCTGGAGCACTGGATCTGAAGAGGCTGTTCCTGTGTAGGCACAGCAACTACTGTCTCACAAGGACTTTTAATGCATAGATTATACGCTGGATTTGAGAGAGAAGAAGGAGAGGAGGGGGGGGAAAGCTCATCTCCACCAGCTGTCATTAATAAAATGCACTGTGTCTCCAACCCACCTTCCCCCAGCCCCATCTCCACCAGCGTTAGGTGATGGGTTGATGAGGGATGTTCATGAGGATGCTCAACCCAACCCCCAAGAGATGCTCCAGAGGGGTTTTAAAGGCTGCAAAGTTGAACCCCCCCTTGAGTTTCTTCCCCGAGCAGCCACAGGGTGGGGATTTCCAAGGCGGTGGCAAAGCCCACGTGGCAGCTGAACTTGTCCCACTGTGGTGGTCCTTCAACCACTGGCACCAGTAGGAAGGACCAAGCCAGCTGTGGCTCCTTCAAGACATTGCCAGAGAGCCAACTGAGGTCTCCCTGGGCCACCCAAGCTCTCCTTGTGCCATCCAAGCTCTCCTTGTGCCACCTGAGGTCTCCCTGTGCCAACCATGCTCTCCTTGTGCCAAATGAGGTCTCCCTGTGTCACCCAAGGTCTCCTTGTGCCATCCAAGCTCTCCTTGTGCCACCTGAGCTCTTCCTGTGCCATCCAAGCA